TCCTCGAGAGCCTGACGAAGCTGATCTTCGGTATATTGAGGCATTATATATAGAAGAAGACATGTGCAAAAGATGAGCCCATTTGGACGCGAATTGAAAATGTTGTGATAAAAGGAGGTTGGGGGTGGGCATTGGGTTGTGGTGGATTTTCGCGTTTTTGTGGGTGCCAGAAACAGGGGGGTGCCAGGAAGTGGGTATGTTGACTTACCTTGCTCACTCTCTACATTCTATTCTTCAGAGGGCGACTGGAAAGTTTCTGGGCAAGAAATGGGTGATATCAAAAGTGTCGTTGTCTCGATCTCAGCTGTCTCTGAGATTTCGGAACGCAAGCGTACTTTCTCAAGTCTCTCGACTAGTACCACGTCATCCCTCGCCGCCCCCAAGACACGTCGACCTCCGCGTGTGACAAGCACCGAGAAGGTCCGTGAGCTAGTTCGATTAGCAATCACAAGACTCCGAGTCCTGTTGAACGAGAACAAGGGCACGCGCAGGCCGATCTCCCAGAAAGGCCTATTCTCCTACAACTACGTCGAGCCCCTTTTCAATTGGTGGGGCGCAAACTATCGTGTTCTCACCACACAATGTCTCGGCCGAGTCGAAGCCTCCGACGCACTGGGTTCCGTGACGAATCTTGTCAACGGAGCTTCTCACAACTATGCTGGCTTCTACAAGGCTACTTCCCAGGCTGAGGAGTTGCAGCGGCTGTGTTTGGAAGCACTGCCGGTGTCCGACACACAGGCTGTTCCCCTTCTCCGAGACGAAACGAATCCTGCAATCGCAGACTTCTTTGGAGCAGACTTTTGCTTCACCACTAGCACTGGATATGGATCTAACTATATCGCGCTGCCGGCATTGATCGATTGCTCCACTGTGGTCATCATGGATGAGAATTGCCACAACTCGATGTTCACCGGCGTGTTTCTGGCCCCCTCACCAAACTTGCGAAAGTTCAAGCATAACAATATGGAGCACCTTGAAACCTTACTGAGCGGGTGTTTTGATGAGTCTGTCAATGTGATAGTGGCCATAGAAGGTCTTTACAGGTCTGTGAAAATCATCTTGTACCTTTTGTGGGTTGGGTACTGACTTAAGACACCGCAGTATGGAAGCCGATGTACCCCCCCTGGATCTCCTACATCGTTTGAAGAAGGACTACGAATTCACTCTTTACTGCGACGAGGCTCACTCCTTCCTTTCTCTTGGGAAGACGGGTCGCGGATGCCTCGAATACTGGAACGACCACCACCCAGAGAGCCCGTTACCCTGGGATCTGATTGACATTCGCACTGGAACACTTTCCAAAGCTGTCGGTGGTATTGGTGGCATAATCGTCGGGAAGGCTGTCTTTCAGGACATCATCCGTGAGCACATCGACGGCCTCGACGACCAGGACAATGTCTCCTTGCCTAGCTCGACAATGGTCCAGACGTTATGGGTACTGGGGCAGCCACATCGAATCCGTCGTAGCCTCCAACGGCTTGTTGAAATTGCCCGATTCTGTCGCGAGGAACTGGAACGCTTCGGTATATTCGTTTATGGTGACGTCGGTACACCGATTCTGCCTATCTACACCGGCAGGCCTAGCCTTTCTGCGAAGCTCTCTTACGCCCTGAGATGCGCCGGACTACTGGCGACACCAGTTTGCACTCCAGCAGTGCCTTTCTGGGAGAGCAGAGTTCGAATCAATCTTTCGGCGGACTTCACAGACGAGGAGGTGAACAGGCTTGTTGATGCTGTTATCCGCGCTGCAGCAAGCGTTGGTATGAGGAGGATGAGAAAGATATCTCGTTCTTTCTTCAAGACCAAAGTAGAAGATTTCGATGGGGAGGAGGATTGCAACGAGGCCTCCAAGGTCTTTGACTGGGTACGCAGCTTGATCAAGATGGACGCTGCCATGGGACCGCACAGCGACCAGAGGCAGCTTTTCGATAGCACTTGCGGTCCTCGAATTCTCGACATAGGTCATGGATCTCGTGCTCAGTATGGCATTGGAGCAGGCGGTGCCAGATGGATCTGCGGCACGTTTCCTCCCCATCTTGTGGTTGAGGACCTCATTGCTCGTGCCACGGGCATGGAAGCCGCCTTGACCTATGCGGACGCCTCTATCGGGTTGGCTTCCACTATAGCAGCGCTTGCACGCCCTCTGATAGGACATACGAAGCATTTCATGCTGTTTGAACGAGGCGCATCCCAGTTTGTTCGGGATGGCCTTGCAATGGCATCAAAAAAGGATGCCCCTACTTTACTGGGTTACGTCGATCTCTTTCAACTTGTACAACAGGTTAGAAAGCTCTATCGAAGAAACAGAAAGCTATGTCTTACGGTCTACGTCCGCGTTGGAGAGGATTCGGCACACCATCTGCTTTCGTCTATCCTCGAAGAGATTGCTGCCATCACAGGTCCAGAGTCCGTCATGACCATCCTCCTCCACTGCACTTCTCAATACTTGGACCCAAGGCAACTCATCTCTTTCCCCTCGCGGACGAACATTCACGTCTTGGTTTGCGGATCTTTCAACCGAATTTTTGGCTTGCCCGCGGGGTTTCTCACCGGACCACAGAGCTTGATTCGAGAGCTCCGATACACAAGCAGGGGTTATATGTTCACTACATCTCCACCGCCCTTCATCATGGACATGTTGCGAGGTGCCCTAGAGTGGAACCTTACATCTATCTAACAGCTCTCAAAGAGGCTTGAGACTCATACTGGTGTAGGGCGCTGGGAGCGAGGAGAATGGCATCACTATGCTCTGCTTGATGCGAAGAACCTACATCTTTCTCTGGTCATCCATTTTATTGAAACAAATCTATATTTAATCCAATCTCAAATTCAGTCGCCACTGTTAAGTTGAGTTGTTTCGGGAAAACACCATACCGTTTGATTTAATGTGTCTGTGATTCTTCCTAGTGAGTTCGCAAATGCCCTGAGGGGCAAAATGTCATTATTGCCGCCCACGTGCCGCCCAAGAAAGGTTTTGACTCCGAAGTGGAGAGACCCAAATCTCCACAAAGTTTCAGTAAGGCAAGCATAGAGAGTTGAGTTGAAGACACAAATATAGACATGATAGCCAACTAAGGTAGTTAAGCCAAACTATCGCTCAAGCCACACCCAGCTCTGTCCAATTCGGCAATCGCCACATAAAAGCTACATCTAGACAAGCTCAATCGCCCAGTGTAGTCCAGTGTGCCAATGTGTGGAATCAGAATAGTTCTTCTGAAGGCTGTCGAAGTTTCAGATACTCTTCATCAAGAAACCGGAGATCGATGTTCCGCAGGGATTCTGACCAGATGAGATCTACTTTTCACCAATTTCTTGAATTAATTAGGGAAAACTATGTCCAAAGCGGGAGATTCATAACCTGGCAAGCTTCGAAAGGGGTGTATTCAGATAAGTATGATCGTTTGGCAAGATAAGTTTGCTGCCTGCCTGGTAATGGCGGTAAACACTTGGTCGGCCAGCTGTGGCAGACTGCTGCAGCTTCAAAAAAAAAAATGCTTAGGAAAAGTTAGCAGAACTTGAAAAGCGTGGATGGATTTGCCGCACAATCTTGAGGTGGTACAAGAATTGGTCGAACTGACAATGAATGTTTAGCTGCATCCCCATGACGATTGGCGACTACTACACAATGTTTCTTGGTCCGGGCAAATAGTAAGTCTCGGCCGACCGCCTAGCCGGGCATGTTGCGTTGACAAATTCACGACCCTTGATCCCAGACACAAAAAAGCTTAACTGACACCAAGCGGGCGTGGTCTAAGTGGCGGGGTTACAGGCGGGGACTACGGGGATTTCAAGGACTCAAACGAGGAGCTAAGAAGTGTTTAAAATGATTGGGGCACTGGCATTGGACGAGGCTAATGGATTGACAGGGGGGTAACAAATCAGACTCCTCCATGGCATCGGCGACGCGTACGTGGAAGCTGGAACTCTGCCTTGCTTTACAGGAGTCAAATGACAGCAAAGCATGAGACGCATATCTGGCAGAACTCTGAGCTCGATCTGGCAGGTCGACTCTTTTCTCAAGGACAAGCTGAGGGTGACGCCTGCTGAACAAAACATAGGCATGGTTCTAAGTGTTATGTTATGAGTTATGGAGAAAATCGAACGAGCACGCCTGAATAGCGTACTAAGTAAGTGGGCAAGGTGAATCTCGGACTCGTGAACCGACAGCGAATAGCGTGTGGTTCCGAGCTTTACTAAGAAATAAGCATACAATTAGAGCACATTCGGCAGCACCTCAGTGCTACCCGCCGACAGGGCAGATCAAACGCCGAAGTCAACGTGTAGCAAAGCGTGGTCGCGTCGGCAATCGGTTGGGGGATCGCCCATTGGGCTCCAAGGCGGAAGCGCACTTCGATGATCGACGGCTTCCCGTCTCTACCACCCCGTCGGGTTCGTCGGTAGGCCCTCGCTATCGTTAACTATCCACGGAAAGTTACGATCGAACCGGAGACCGCGTGGGATGCCCGCCAACCAACATGTCACGCATCGACCTCTTCCAGACCGCTGACGATCACCCGTTAAGCTCTGGGCTATGCAAGTTATGTCGGCAAAAGAGACCCTGTGAAGACTAGCGTGGTGTTTCTAGAAATGTCGGCCACTTGCCGCGTACGACTACTAGGTGCTCCGAGCGAAGGGAATCAACGTTTCGCCCACTACGCCGAAGTTTCCGCCTCGTTTGCTCTAACCCCATCCTGTCTCCCCCCCTAGAGAACGTGTGCTGCGCGCAGCCCGTTGGTATGTGCCAGCCCTACCTGCCAAGCCTTATCCAGTTTCGTTTCCATCTGTCGGCGGGAGTCATGCACGGTCGTCGACCGGCATCCTGCCTGAGTCGCGAGCCTACATGTTGCAGTCGTCACCCCATACCTAACCGTGTTAGTCTATAATCTGGCTGTGCCCAGAGAAAAAAAAGCTTAACCCCTCGCCCACGGGCTTTCGCTTTCTGGCTAGCCATGAGCAACTCCAAGGGCTTCATCCGAACTTGCTACTGGCACAATGGCAACTCACGAACGACAACGGTCCGAGCGAGGCGTGGTGTTGTATGCACCCGAGCGTGCCGTCGGCCTGCCCAACGCCCAGTTCCCTCAAGGCATACCGGAGATGAAAACTTTCGTGGTCGCGCTCGTAGCTCGCAACAAGTGGAGAAAAATGGTTACCGCCGATGGCATGCGGCCGAATTGTGATGGTGTCACCTACCTCACCATGCCGAAGCTTGTCGGCCAAGGCCACTCGATGTGCATGATAGCGTCGAACGTACTCTGCCTAGTCAAAAGACTAAACGGGGAGATTTTGATGTGTCGGTCTCGGCATCAGTGGTTTAGACTCTAAGAACAGAAGAAGTACATAAGGAGAGTGTATTTCCACTTTCATTGGCAATTTCCGATCAGCAGCCTCATCGAACAAGCTCATCTCACCCAAGATCACCTCACCTAGAAACATCTCCATAACTAATCAAATCCTCGTACACTTCGCCTCGAGCATCTCGGCTTATTATAACTCCAAGAAAATGGTTGCCATCAAGAACCTCCTCATCGCCACCCTCACCTCCAGCGTTATCGCAAGACCACTGTTGAGTGGTCGCAACGTCCCAGACATTGAAGTCGATTCTGTCGCTTCCATCGAGACCCGAGCTGAAGCTGCCAAAAATGTGAACGCCGCTGCTACATATGGCAACGGCGGATCATTCGGAAACGGCGGAGCATACAAGAACGGAAACAACGGTGGTGGCTTCAACTCTGGCGGTGGCTTCAGCTCTGGTAATGGCGGCGGTAACTGCGACTACTCCGAGAAGAACAGACTCGACCAGGAGATTCGCAACAGGGAGCGCATGAAGGACCGTCTCGATGACGAGATCCAGAGACGCCAGAATATGAAGGATCAGCTTGACCAGGAGATTCGTCGCAAGCAGAATGGCGGGTGGTAATTGGCGCTACGGGAATTTTGGAAAATACCAGGCATTTTGCTAGGTGGTGGCGTTGAGGATTAGGAGTTTCAGAGAGCGAATTGGTTTCTATTCATGGGGCAGTCGATTAAACATGGTGGCTTGAAGGATTTCCTACTGGAGCCAGTCCCTACAGGCAGACTAGGACCGTAGGCATAATGAAAATCTTGAAATAGTATGATCCACATAACGTTACAAACTTCGTCCTATTAGCTTTGGATTAAATTGATTTTGAGTTGCTGCCTTCGGCTGCTATCTTGTCACGCTTGACTCGAACATTGGCGCCAAATCAGCTCCTACTAAGCGTGGACCGCCACCACTTAATCTAAATATCCATGGACAAACGCGTGACTCTGCATGGAGTTCCTTCAAGTCAAAATCCCTTGAGAGATTGTCTTCGGCCCTTGCGGTGGGTGGTTGAAGGTATCCGGTTCTTCAGAGGTGGTCAGTGGCGGGTCTCGTTCAACAACCTCAGGCGAAGAACAAATTGCGGAAATATTATAATCCAAGCCTCGATTGATAATAGATTCTCGTAATGGCATAAAATTGAGGAGGAACCGAATGTAAGTGAAGCTATTAAGCACACATAAGAAGTCATCTAAAGACAAGTATGTTCCGTGTCCTTACTAAGACTTGAGTGCATGTTTTGTGTGTTGATCTTTACCGCTACCGCAAGAGAAAGAAGCTGTCGGAACTTAAATGGCTGGTGCATGCAAGGAAGGCATTTGAAGTTGTAGATAGGGACGTAAATTTGTCGCAATTCTTGTGGAAAGTTTGATTAAGACTTTCTTCTCTATCATCGAACGCCATTGGGGATTCCAACAGTCATGAATAAGATGCAGGTGGCAAAGGGAAACAACAACCGTTACGATTCTTGCAGAAAGCCCAATGAACATTGGCCTTTTCTGTAACTGAGCATCATTAACGTCTTGAGAAACTTTCCAGCCATAGAGAAGAGTTATAAGGCGGAGGGAGCGAATGGTATGATCCAGCAGGTTCGAGGCCTAGACTTTTGAGGGGCCCTACATACACCTGAAAGACACAGGTAGTAAATGGAATCCAAAGTCGTCGCAGACTCGCAGCACTGTTGATGTGATTTTTACATTGCTTTCGTAATCCAAACATCAAATTTTATTCGTACACCTCAACCGTAATGGAACATTATGGTACCTTATGCAATGAACCCTACTCCTTCTTACTTGCAGCACCCTCCGTCTTCATCCCCTCACACCCAAACGCCTTGCCGGCAATCTCCTCCGCCTTGCCGTATCCCTGCGTTGATGCATCGCGTTCCTCGCCAGCAGCCTTCATCGTCGACGCGGCGTGCGCCTTATCTTGCTCTCCAGACGAGGTCCAGGCGTGCGAGCCCGTAACGCTGCCAATTGCGGCCTGATTCGATTCTGTAAGTACTCCTACTTGCCTAGTCGTCGCAGAAAAATTTTAATGCGTTGCATGTCCGTGAACTTACCTCAGCGGCGCCTTTGATGTACTCAGCATGGCCGGCGATGAGGCCGGGTTGTTGGGTGTTGGTGTTGGTGTTGGTGTTTTGGGAAGACATTATGTGGAAATATGTTTGTGTCTTTCCTTTCGAGTTATGTGGAAAATTTGAGAAACTAAATGAACAATACAATCAAGTCGAGTATGTAGATAAGAGCAGATGAAGTCTTTCTTGTATGCATTGACCTTTGAAGCAGTGGGATTGGACTAGTTGGGAATTAACTATTGTCTAGTGACACGCAAAAGATGACGTCAAGACACACATCGACGTCATTCATTGACACCCACATCACATGATTCCCTTCCTGCCCCGAAACGCAAGACCACCGCAAAAACAGCCACCGCTGCTCCGAACCATTGTACGGGTACTGATGTAGCAAAAGAATGAATCGCCTTTTCGGCAGTACGTCATGAAGAATACCCGGATTAGATAGTAGAGTCGAATGTTGTCGCCAAAATCACCTACATTTCGGCGCAAGGCAATGTAGGAGTAATTTGAAGTTAAGAGAAATTGACTAATAGTTATCATTACTGTTTGAGAATACCATCTAATCTTCGATGCATGTTATACAACAAAAGAAGCAGATCTACACCTCAACCTTTTCAGCATGCGAAGTATTGAAGCCCTCCTTCTTACCTTCAGCAACGGCGATCCGATCTCCAAAGCGTCCTCCAGCTCTTCGGGTACGCCAGGCGGGAATGTTGGAGTCGAAAAGGTCGTCGATTTCCTCAAGGCTTTTGCCAGAAGTCTCTGGGTATGTGAAGAAGATGTGTATAGTCATGGCAGCGCAAAAGGCTCCAAAGATCATGTACGTCTTCCACTGGATGTTGGTGAAGGCAGGAGGAACAAAGAAGGCGAGAGCAAGGTTGAACGCCCAGTTGGAGGCCGCGGCCAGACCGACGCCAGTCGCACGGTACTTGAGAGGGAAGACTTCGGAAGCATAGATCCAGCCAATAGGAGCCCAGGTAAGACCGTAAACACCGACAAAGATGTAAGATAGGGAAATGACGCCCTTTGCCGGGGCTCCAGTGACCTCCCATCTCAAGTTATCGTCGCCATTGACGCTGTCAACAGGGTTACCATAGACCTTCATGACAGCGCCAGTAGTGAAGTGGATGATGCAGCAAATGATGGCACCACCGATAAGGAGAGGACGACGGCCAAGACGGTCAATGATGGGGAGGATGGCGCCGGTGGTAACAAGGAAAATAACATATTGTATGATAGAAGAAGTCAAAGCTACGTTGCCAGACTATGTAACAGGTTAGCCATGCAAGATTTAGGTTATGATCTGGAATTACTCACCATTCCTGCCATGTTAAACAGAAAAATTAAATAGTACAAGGCAATATTGCCACCAAGCATTTGCTGGAAAACTTGAACACTGCATCCGGCGAGTGTGCGCTTCCAGACACGCGGTCCAAAAAGCCCAAAGAAAGTAACATTCTTGGACTCGGCGGCAATGCGGGCAGCTTCCCTAACTTCATCGAGCTCGGCAAGAACAATAGGGGCTTCGCGGTCACCATCAGCGTGAAGATGGGCGAGGACCTCGTGGCACTCCTCCCACCGATCCTTCTGGCCTAGCCAACGTGGAGACTCAGGGAAGAAGAGAAGCGCGATTCCGAGGATGAGACCAGGAATGCCCTGAATACCCCAGGCAATGCGGAATGCCTTAGGATCGTTAGGGATACTGACAATACAGCCGTAAGAGATAAGGTACATGATGAGAATGCCCCATTCGATCGACCATTGCTGAATCCCGACGATGCGCCCACGGATGCGGGAGGGAGCCAATTCAGCAAGGTAGACGCAGCACTGGGAACTTGTGATACCAATGGCCAGACCAGAGACAACGCGACCGACAATGAGGTGGGCGACATTCTGAGAGGAGCATTGGAGAACAGCACCGATGATCCAAATGACAGAGGCGAGCTTGAGAGCGCCGCGACGGCCGTATGAATCAGCCAGGAAACCAGCGACTAGAGCACCGACAAGGGAGCCGCCGGACATGGAGGCCGTTATGCCCCCCTGAAGGGTCGAACTCGGATGCCCGAAATATTCTTTATAGGAGTCGGCGCCAATCCACGCACTCATGGAACTGATATCGAAACCGAAAAGCATAAGTCAACATACCCACTTCCTGGCACCCCCCTGTTTCTGGCACCCACAAAAACGCGAAAATCCACCACAACCCAATGCCCACCCCCAACCTCCTTTTATCACAACATTTTCAATTCGCGTCCAAATGGGCTCATCTTTTGCACATGTCTTCTTCTATATATAATGCCTCAATATACCGAAGATCAGCTTCGTCAGGCTCTCGAGGA